AGAAGGGAACTCAACCAAAGATGACGTGTAAGGAAACCTGCTTTATATTGTTGTTAAATATCCTTACGTGGAAATTTTTAGGTAACTGTTTTTTTTAATCTTCTTTTTCCAACTTACAGTTTCAACGTGAATTGATATATCTGTGAATTTGAAATAAAAGGAAAGATTGAGGATATTCTGCACGGAGAATAAAGCTAAACAACACCATAACCAAAAAGTTACGAGTTGATTCCTGCTCAGATTCAAATAGGCTTTTGACTTTTCCGAGGCTCTTATGTTATCTTTCAATGTTTTCGAGTTCCTCACACCTTGCCATCCACAACTCTCCTGATCATTCTTATCATTTTGTGAGTTAATTTTCATATTCGATTTCAAGGTTGATTAAGGACTTGTTCCCAAGCTTCGTACGCGTCCCAGCTAGTGGCTCGGTCACTGCAGTCTTAAATAACGACGGAGCCAACTTTGTGACGTGCCGTCTGCGCATGCGATCAAAGAGCGTGTTTGATTGGTGGGAACTGACACAGAAGAGTCCCACTCCACTTTTTGGTGCCAAGGACAATGTACTGGAAATGATCACATTCAATGACTTAGTACCGCCGCTGCACTTCTCTTTCTTCACTAGCACTGGGTAGGATGTTTAAATTATTGTGTTTACCCTTCCACTTCCAAGATTTTTATTTCAATTTTCCGCTCTGTCTTCCATACAGTCCACAGGATACATAGTTTATTGAATAATGAACAAATACATGAAAAAACTACGAGCGTCTGATTGGGTGAAAACGACTCCATTTTCATGTAGCACGAATAAAAGTTGCAACACGAGTGCCAATTACAAATAGCGCGCTCGCGCGCTGCCAAAATTTCGTCCGTCTTGACTTTCTGTTATGCGTTTTTCATGTAAATTATTAACAAGTAACAACATGATTTCCCGTGCAATTTGGTGTAAATAAGCACTTGTAAATTTTTTAAAGACTACACATTGCACTCGCCCTCCAGGCTCGTGCAATTTTGTTGTCTTTTTACTCATACAAATTAAATGAAGGGGTAGGGGTGGGGGGTGGATTTGTATCATTATTTTCTATAGACTGCTAGTTTGAAGAAAAAACATAAGCCTGTTGGTATGGTAAAGTGTGTCATGTAAGATCAAGCACTTTGTCGCCAATATATTGACTCTTGATTGAGACAACTGTTAATTGAAAAAGTCATAGCGCCTCAGTTTGTTTGGGAGCAGGGAACCACGATGGTGCATTAGAGGGTGCCTCGCCTCCCACCTCTGTAGCCTTGGTACGACTCCCGACATTACATGCGGGTTGAGTTTGTTGTTAATTTTTCTCTGGATTCTGCGGTTTTTGTCTATCCACGAAAATCAACTTGACCTGGAAACTTTGGGCAAGGAGCCATCCCGTGGATGTGCCACTGCTGAATTATTACGGATTTTTATTTCATTTTGGTTTTTTCGATGATCTCTTTCAGGATAATCGGACTTTATGTGGGTTTCGTTTGGTTGGTTGGCAAGTTTGTCCGTCTGTTTTTCACTTCCATATCCTACCGTATCATGTTTGACGAGATGCCAAACGTTGATAAGGTTCTCAAATTGTGCCTGGATATCTTCATGGTGCGAGAGAGCAAGGAACTCAAGTTAGAGGAGGATTTGTTTGCCAAGCTCATGTTTCTGTACCGGTCACCGCAGACGCTCATAAAATGGACGAAATACAAACGGAATTAGTGACATGTACGGAAGAAAAAGATTAGAAAAGAAGGCGTACCTTTTGTTGAATTGATATTCACTTTGGAAACGATTTGACTGAGGTGCGCCTTCGAACGTCTTGCACAATCGTAGTCGTCGTACTATTTCCATTCTTTCTTTTGTCTGTTTATGTGGTTTTTACTCGCCTTTTACATGACTGACACACACAACTCAAGCGTGTGTTATTTGATTTGTTGGTAAGGGTACCATTTAAAGTGCTTTTCCTTTGTTTAAGTTCGTAAAGGAAAAACTTTGAAAGAGAAATGTGGGTATAGCTTTGTATGCTAGTTAGAGCATCTTATTCATGCCGACAAGCAGGCGGTTCAGTAGATTGATTGAGTCTGCGAAACACTATTGATGAGAATGAAAACTGAAATGAAGAAGTAATGATAAAGTATAATGTAATTAATTGGATGCTTTCCGACGACTGTAAGGTTGTTAAATGTTTCCTATTATTCAAATGTGAAAATCATAATGGGGAATTTGCAAATTTATTTTTCCTGAAAAGGGAGAAACAAGATGACAAAATATTTCATGAAGAATATTCAAATTGCTACTTGCTTTCCAGCAAGTACAGAATAATTGCATATTTATATATGAAATAACAGTAAAATATATTTATCGTAATCAGAGACAAAACTTGATATTTATTGAAGATCCCTTTCCAGAATTGCTGAAATTCACAAAGATTTTGTACGCATAATCCACCAGGCTATTTTGGAAAGTCAACCAAAGGCAATTGTGCCCTTTTCTAGCTACTGATGCGTTTTGAAATTAGAATACATTGTGTGACAATAAATCTTCTCTGTGAATCCCTACGTAATATATAGAATTTTTTTAACTAACGGCCATTGTGTTCCCTTAGACTGAAAATTCAACCGCAATTTACAGTAATATTTTTTTATTCGGGAAGCAATATGATGAAAGTGACTACTACCATGATAAATCGGGGAGTAATTTGAGCTATACTACTGGAATTGTACTTAATACCTCTCTACTTTTTAATAAAACTGTTCAATTGGTATTTCGTGTGTGATTTTTTGACTCACTATCTATATGCAGGCAGTTTGAAGGACACTCAATGGCAGTTGGAGTTGGAGGGGAAGGAAGACCAGAAGTAATCCCGAAACTTTCGTCACACTCTCTTGCTGACCAAAAGTATAAAAGCCGCGTTAAGACTTGCACGCGCCGTTTCGTTGAAATGATGGAAGCTGATGAACGAGATCTGTCATATATTTCGTCCCAGTTTTCCCTGTAGTAACCTCGTAGCCCATCCATGATGTTTCTCTACTGTTGGGCTTTTGAAGTGATGCTCCTAAGTAATTTCTTAAGTTGTACATCAGATCGCCGGGAAAACAGTTGCAATGAGTGTACATCCTCCGTCTGTTTTTGGTAGTTCGAGAAATAGAGGCTAAAAAAATTTTGTTAGAAAAGATATGACAATGTTTTCCCCTAGACAGTGTAATTTCCGTAGAGCTGTTAACAGCGTGTACGTTTTTTGAAAAAAGAGGCGACAGCAAGAAGCGTTTTGGAATACAGCGTTTAATCAGTTCGTGTTAAAATTGCTAACACCGAACGCTCCCAAAATTTACTTCTTATACCACAGGACAATATTCTTTTTTTGAAAAAAATGAGAGCACTCGCCGTCTACTCTTGTGGTCCGATTTCTACTCCCAAAGCTTGCGTTGAGTTTGATATTTTTTCTCGTCGGAGCCGGGTTTTCTTGGAGTTTCTTCGGTTTTCCACCTTCAACAAAAACTAACACAAATTCCTACTTGGGCTGCTAAAATTGAATATACAGGAGTAGGCACAATGTGGTTACCTGAACCAAATTCGATTTATCATATTTCTTTCATCATCTATTACTTCCGCGATAGCTGAGTTAAACTCCATGAGGTGAACACGTGTTAACGCCTTTGTTAATTATGATTCTTGTGCAGTTTTTTTTAATAAAAAAATATCTGTTTCCAGTCTCCACTTCACAATGGACATCTATTCCTACGTCACACCGACGTTACTATTCGGTTACCGAGTAATACCTTTTCATTCTCCTTCGCGTTGCTTTCTACGACTATAGCGTAACAATTAAACTCGATTTCTTGGTGTCAAGAAAGAAACTAACGAGAAATTATAATGATTTTAAGAAATATTAAACAGAAGTATAGATTCTTGTAAAATTTTGTGTTTCCTCCACTTAGCTGCTTTGAAAGCTTAGAATCACAAACTGATCAGGGTAAATAAATCCACGGATGCAATTAAAAAAAGAGTTTTCTTGTCGATGATAAATACATGATTTCTTGCAGTCGCTGATTATTCGCTGTGAATCTGAACTACAAACGTTTACGCGAAATTAGTGGGCCGTTTTTTTCATTACGCCTCGGTTACCTTTCGTGAAAAGAGAATACGTTTTGACGAGCCGATCTTATTCATTTATTTATCATATAGGTTCCACGTACAAATTATTTCGGCCTCGACATCTTTCTAAATTATTTTCTGTGCTCTGTTTAAGTTGCGTATATCAATTTCGTCTTTTCGAGAACTGGCAAACTTCCTCTAATAGGATAAGAATATGGAAATCGTCTTCAACGGAAGTATTTTTCTAAGTGACACATTTTAAAAATTGATTCACTTGTTTTTTGAGTCATGAAATTAACTAAGGAAAACAGTGTTTTTTCTTTCCTATGAGGAAATTAGGCAAATTTAATAACTTGCGCAGCAGGTGAGAGTGCTTTAGTTTCAAAGTATAAATAAACGGAATAGCTATGCATTTTAAGCAAGATATTTTCACGCGCAATCGAAAACTGACTTGAAATAAACTTAGTCCTTTCGCTAACCAAAGATAGCGGAATATTCGACCAAAGAGTGATTAATATGGCCCTTTGTAGAGAGTAAAAGGCGAAAAGCGATCATTACAGAGTCTTCAACCACAGCTTTATACTGAGATTGATACCTTGGTTTGGTTTGTTCGACACAACCCACAAGAGTGGTACTGATTGGATAACAGCGCACTGTATTAACTTAATTTATCAGTATCTTCCAATCGCCTACGGATCCAATTGTCGCTTTGTGTTGCATAGTGCTATTTATCGCTTATTAGCGCCGTTTCACCGCTAATTAGCCAAAGAGGGTTTGTAGAGACAAATGGTGTTTTGATTTCGTAAAATATACAGTTCTCTGATAAGCGGATGCTGTGAGAAGCGTTCAAATGTGATAAAACTGAGTGTGTATCACGAGTCGAGACTCTAACACCGAATCGACATGACTTCGAGTCGGGGGTTCTCCATATTTGTTGCGTTAATCTTCGTGAATTCTTGTTTTTCTTCGGCAACTGAAGTAAATATGGAAGGAACAGGCTACATTACCTACGATCTTCGTTCCAATATTATCGCATCCCTAACAAACCATATCGTATTTTCGTTTAAAACGTTCCGTCCTTCTGGATTATTGCTTTACAGCAGCGGGTCTCAGGGAGATTTTATATCTATTGAGCTCATTCATGGACGATTGAGGTAAGCACAGTTCATTTGAAATTGCTGTTAAAATTGGGACAGTTGGTAAAACTCGATTCTATAGAAAACGATGTCAAAAACATCGAGGCATAGTTTACGCCGAAGAATTAAAAAGCTCTTGAACTAAACGATCGATGTTTAAAACGAGTACGAGTATGTCCACCAATGGGCATGATTTTTTTCTCGACTTCGAGCTAGACTATCTCTAACGCAAAAGTTGCTTCGAAAGAGAGCCTCTCCCCTTCAATATAGTTTTCTGTCAACTTCAGAGAAGTTTTTTTAAAAGTTTGTAGCGTCAAGCTAGGTAAACAAAGACCAGAAATCTTGTATATCATGTTTTAATTGCTTTGAAAAGAGGTGAAAATTAGTCAACCAAAGAAGTGAGATGTTTTCAATTTGAACAAAAGTAGATGATCAATAGCTCAGCGTTTCTAATAAGCCTCACAGAATTGTTGATAATGTATTGTTATCTCGGCGCATATCAAGCCTTATATTTCACTTAGTGACTAAGAGATGCAAATTGATTCTTGGTCATCGACAAATAGTCAAACGCTCTTTCTCACGTAACATCGAAGCTGGCCAAGAATTCAACTTAACCAATAATTGTAGACCATGACGCTTTCTTTGGCTGAGTAGAATATCATTCAGCTGTCGAGAAAGCCTTGTTAGATAACCATACTGGATAGAATGACATATTCAATTAAACATGGGAACATCTCATTTAACAAATCTGAAAATGTTTCTTCCGTCCATGAGAAAAATCAATGTCGTCAGGAAAATTTTCAGTGAGGATTTCTTTAAATAAATGACTAATATAACACGCAGATAACAATTTTAACAGAGAGTGAATGCAGGAACACAGTTTCTTCTCTGAAAATTGTTTTTGCAATTACCAGGTGGTATCGGAGTAATTAAAGTGTGAAATAAACCTCATCATTACAATGTGAAGATTTGAGCTTGAAGAAAAACCTACTTGATGTAAACCATCGTTTTGCACTGCAATCGTGATTGTTTTTTTCTCTTTATCTTGAATCGGTGTTCACCATATATGCAAACGGTGTATTTATTAGGAAGCTTGCACAAAAACCCAGTTTAGATATCTTTAGCACTCTTTGTTTACCTGCCAAATAACACAATGTGTATTTTTTTGCAACGTTTTGGTTTTAGTCACCTGTCGCAAGAGAAAAAGACAAAAAGAACCTGAAAGAAAGATAAACCGAGGGATAATTACACAAAGGCACGCGCCCAATTATTGTAATAGTACCTGTTAAGACGCTGAAGACAGATTGAAATGTGCTGTGAATTTTATTCTTACTTCGGTCATAAACATCAAAGGTAATGTTACGAACGGGACCACTAAATTTTAGCAGATAAAGAGTTTGTAAGAGTCAAGAAAACCATGTCAACTTTTTGTCCTTGATCACTCGTTCCTTCCCAGACATATGGCACACTTTGCAACTTTATAGATTGTTATCTTGTAACATCTCTTTTTCGTAGAAAATGAAACCCCTTATTTTGGAGAGCGAAGGACGCTATACACTAGTATTTTCCAAATCAACTGGGGTCGGCAACAACAAATAAAATTAGTTTGAACTCTTTCCGTGCTTGCTTCGATGAATAAACGAGGGGAAATATAGGAAGGGAGCTTGAATTTATCGCCAGTTGATAGAAATTGTGCTAGAAAATTTCAACTTAACCATCCCGTCTGAAAATCCTCCTTATCAAAGAAAACTTAAATTTGTCTTTTATGTATTTCAGCTGCCTGTGAATGAACACACTGCTATTGTTTCGTTACTGGCGATAGAAAGGTTTATTGATTCGCAACTCATTCGGATTAGGGTGTGCCAAACTATTGCAATAAGTTTTGTAAGACAGCGTCATAAGAGCTCCTTAATTACGTAAACTTCAAATATATAAAAGGAACCTTGATGAAAGATGAATTAGAGTAATAAATTTTTCTCTTTTGTATCGTCAGAATAAAAAAATCAAACAAAACCCATTCAAATAGTAGTTTTACGTTATAGCGGACCTCCCACGAACACCGAGCAAGTGGGGTCCCATACCTAAGATAATATGAAAAAGTTAGATAGCCATAAAAAACAAAAACCGCGATAAATAACATGGGAAATTTTAGATAAAATCTTTTCGTAATTACACTCGAAAAGGTTTCTGTTACAAACTATGCAATGCTCGGCTTTTCCGATTAAAATATTTCCGTTGATCAGAATCGGTTGAAAGTTATGGGTATACATTATTACCATTATTATGTCTAAGACCGCTCCACGCCGAGTGACGAGGATAAATAACGTCGATAAAACTAATTGACCTCCTTTATTGAATTCATGAAGATAAAACTAGCGTCAATATCTTCTTTGCATTTTATTTCAAAACCCACTTCAATTTGTGGAGCATCCGACCACGAAAACAGCGTCTTTCAAGGTAATATCCTTTTGCAGATGTCCCACGCCCGTGACCTAGTTGGATTGCCGCGCTGAATTCAAATTCATAGGGCGCTTGTGGCATCGTTGATCCAACTAGTATGACGGAGTTTTCGTGGACGAAGTAAATGGCTAAGCGTAGAAACGAATTCTTTGCAGCTCGATTCGTTAAGAACCGCGTTTTCGCCAATACGACTGAAACGCTCACAACAAGCATACTCCTGACTCAACGTCATCTTAGTTCTCTTCTGCAACTGCCCTTAGAGGAATATTTTTCTTCCACCGAATAAACGGTACTCCTTTCCGGCTCTAAATTGCAATGATACCGTGGGACTATGGAAACACTGAAAGTTAGTAAAATATCAGCAGAAAAGCTAACTTTGAATAGTGTTGTACTCTGCCGGTCTCCACTATTACTATTATTAGACTTAGATTAAGGTTGTCCTGGTTTTGTGGTTTTGCGATAATATGCGCGTGAACCAAACACAATTATCGGCAATTTTAACAATTAATCATTTAACGTTTAGTTTGTAAACAAACACTTAAGGAACTTATAAAATTTAATCTTAATTGCTGTACGTGCTCGTAAAGCAGTTATAGGATTTCCAGTTGGTCTCCGTGATGAAGGTGTATCACCTCAAGCTAAGAGGAATGAAAAGATGAGGAAATTTCCTACATATATGCAAGGTTTTCATTGTGAACTTCATGTTCATGAAATCAAAGTAGATCTTTTGCCTGACACTTACAATCTCTCTGCTCTTGTGACCGACGCACCCTGTTGACCCAGGTGCAGATTTATCCTTTGTTTTTTCTTTCACCTGTTTTCAAACGTGCTGAAGACTAAAGTCAGCTCTTTGCCGCATAATAGTTGAGGACATTTTCAAGAGGCACTTTGTTAAGAATTTCTTTCACTGTGATTATTTCCGACGTTTCCCATAAATAGTCTCATGATCGAAATTCCTCTATCTTAGGGTTTCATCTTTGTACATGTAAAATTTTGCCCTACATCCACATATTCTGCATAGACTGACAGCACGGTATCCATGGTATCTCGTTATAAATCTTTCTATATATATTACAGTATAGATAGAGATTTGACAACTAACAACAAAAAAACACAAAATCAACCTTCTAAAAATTGCTCAGATTTAAAATTGTTGGCTGATCAGTCGAAAACCAGCGAATCCTGGTCTATTTTCCGAGGGCAGTTAAATGCAAATAAAATGTTTAGGGTTATCAGCTCGACTTACAATTGCTTTTTAAATGATTGCTTTAAATTCGTCTCTGCCACAGAAGAAGGACTTCCAAATTCGTCTTTTACTCTTCGGCAGTTTTGTTTCTTTCTTATTTGTTTTTTTTTCTTTTAATCACCTTGCCGCAAAAGCGAAGTCGCGTCATGCTGATCAATCGATTTACTTTTTAGGATCTCACTCACTGACAACAGCCAAAGTTACATAATTATTAGGGAAGCAAAATTTAGTAAACAAATGCATAGCTCTCAAAACCCCCAGAATGCCTTTGGATCAATTTGCTTGGTAGAAAATGATTTGTGAGATTGACATGGCCTCTCGGCCAAGGAAACAATAAAGAATTAACTACCCCTCAATTCGTATTTATTTGGATACCAAATGTTCTTAGACTTTATAACCGGGAAAGACTGCGCATTTCTTGAAATGGCAACTTCTCGTTTAAAATGCTTCAAATAACTTGCATTTATGAACTTTCTGTAAGGTTTACTATCAATCTTGGAAGTTCCACCGTATCAGGAGAACACTCAGTACTTGTTGGCAATAACTTAGCGGACAACAAATGGCATGAGGTTCAAGTAGATCGAAACGAACGAACACTTGTGGTGACTGTTGATGATGTCAGAAGCCAATCAACCACACCAGGCTCTTTCGTTCGACTTGATCTTGACTCATTCCTCTACGTGGCAGGCCTGGATACGAGTGAGACCTCTAATCTACACGGAGCGCCAACTACTCCGAATTTTAACGGCTGTTTGAGGAATCTTCACTTCGATTACAAAGATATTTTATATTGTTCTAAGGTTGACCTTCTTGGATGTGACACGCACGGTTTTTTGCGCTTCTACTGTCCAGTCAACACGTACGTTCCGGTCAATTTTCCAACTCCAAATACGCATTTGAAACTCAGTAAGGCCTCTCCTCAGAATTTTACGGTGGGACTCAACTTTCGCACTTACTACGGTAAAGGTATTTTGGTTTACAAACAAGCTTCTCATGCGCGCCTCTACCTTTCTCTGGTATCAAGCAGGCTTGAGCTTAAAATATCTGTAGGAACTGAAAAACCGGTCAAAATAAGTGTTGGTGAAGATTTAAGTGATGGCATGTGGCACTACGTCATGGCTGGAGTAACACGTAAAGAACTTTGGTTGAAGTTGGATTCCAAACCAAAGCTCCGTCACGAAAACCCCTTGTTGGACCGAATCGGTAAATTCCAAAATCGTGTTCATATTGGCTATGGAACACATAGTGATGGATTTGTTGGCTGCATGCACCAAATAAGGTTGAACGATGAATTAGTAAATTTGAAAAGATTATCCGGCTCTCGTATAAACGGAGCGGTCATCGACCGATGTAAAATTACTAGTAAGTGTTTTCCAAATCCTTGCGAAAACAGTGGCCGCTGTTTACAGACATGGGAAACTTACACGTGTGACTGCGAAGGGACGTTTTACCGAGGAACCCAGTGTGAGGATCCTCTTTACCGTGCTACATGCCACGAATACAAAATACTGGGTATGGTCCAGGATGCATATTGCAAAGTCGATCCTGATGGCACTGGACCGTTAGAGGCCTTTGAAGTGTTGTGCAACATGACAGCCTCTGACGCGGCCAAGACAGTACTACACCACAACAAGGAGGGAAAATATCCCGTGACGCGGGAAGCCTTGCGCGTCGGTAGCTATTACTTTCAACGCATCGCGTATGGAACTGACTTGGCCAGCATTCGTGCATTGATTCAGCGTAGCGGAAACTGTCGCCAGTACATCAGTTATCACTGTTACAATTCAAAACTGTTGAATTCTCCCGTTGGTCCTGAGAATGTGCAGTGGTTATCAAGTACCGCAGTCCCACAAAATTACTGGGGAGGTGCGAGGCCTGGAAGTGGCAAGTGCTCATGTGGAGAGACGAAGAGCTGTGCAGATCCTTCAAAATATTGTAACTGTGATGCCGACAGCAAAGATCGGTGGAGGGAAGACTCTGGTGAGTAAAAATCAGTGGCATGGCTATGGGCTTCGTTGGATGCATTTAGGCCCAATTACTTAACAATATGTATTAACGCTTCGTTGGCAGCATTCCTATACATGAAAAGAAGAAAACTCTCCAAAAAATTTTGCATCACACTGATTTTGATATCTTAAGATGCATTCAATTTATTTCGGCCAAAGGTTAACCGGTGTGACTGTCAGCTAATTTGAAAGAGTAAATCACTCGTCTTGTGAAAATTTAAAACCAAGTTCATGTTTACATTTACTAAAACTAATTCATGTCCCTCGCGATCTTTGCTTTACAGGTTATTTACACGACAAATCATCATTACCAGTGAATATGTTGCAGTTCAATTCGGATGCCAAGGACTCTTTCTTCACTCTTGGTCCATTAGAATGTTTTGGAACCGGGGGTCGCGCTCCCGAAGAAGTGAGCAATGCAAACTTTATTTCGTCCGCCTGCAGATTGGTTAACCCGCCCCCCACAGTGCGTATTGAAACTGAGCCAGTGCAAAGAACCACTACCCCATCCACTATTCCCAAGCTGAAGGCGGAAAAGACAGGCAGCACTACCACTAAAAGTCCAGGTAACAATAGAAATTCGTTGTCTTCCCTTAAACATCACGTTACCATGACGACCACTATCGCAACGAATAAAAACTCAACCCTGGTGACGTCAGTGTTTACTCACGAACCCAAGAGCGCTGGTGTGACAGTACATTCTTCCATTACCACAGGTAAATCTGGCGTGACAGTGCACACAAGCATCACCACCAAAGGAAGGACTGTCACACTGCCTCCTGTCACGCCGTTGGAGCCGAACAGAAGCCGCAACGTGACCGTTATAACAAGAAGTAGCATTGACTACATCACGCGGGTTGAAGGAGGAGTGGTTTACGATGCAAGGTTTATAATCTTGGTAGCTTCGTCCTTACTGGCCTTCATTCTTCTCATTTGTGTTCTCATTTTCGTTTTCCTGAAGCGGTCTGGTCGCAGGTACGTGTGCTGCATTTCCTGTAAGAGCTGCAGGAGGAACAAGAATATCCCGGATATTGAGGTGTATCGCCATTCGGTTCGCACGGATTCTCCGGATGTGGTCCAGCTGGATGAGATGGGGCACGGCACGATGGAGGTTGGGGCCTACAATATGAGTAACGGCGCCACAGTTTACCACTCGGTGCATCGAGATTCGCACGTCAGAAAATACGTGTCCTTTTCAGCTTCCACCTCCAAGCTCTGAATTCAGACCGGATATCAAGGTATTTATTTTTATCAGAGACAAAATTCACTTCAAATGCTCTAATTTCAATGAATCATTTTACTTTAATTTTCTTAATCTTAGGCAGTTACCTGCTGAAAGCATAAGATACCAAAGCATGGCACTGACTCTGAAGAATTTCCCGGCCCACTTCTTTGACATAAGCCTTCATTAGTTACATATCTTTTACTATTCGAGTTCAAGGTCTGTACTTTAAGATGCCGATCGAGTTTTTCCCGCACAGATTTATGGCCCATGCGCGAGGTGTGTGATTATCATCATTGTTATCTTCACAGGAATATGTTTGATCGACTCTGTCAATGAAGCTTGACTCATGCTGTGACAGAAGAATTTTTGTTTTAATTACGCACAAGTTATTTGAGGTCTACAAGGAAGATATTATCTATGCTGACTCAGGATTGGGTGATAAGGAACTTCTGGCAATGGAAAACGAACCAATTAGAACAAAAGGGCGAAGATAGTTGGAATATACACGAATATTAGCACGCATTGCGTGTGTACATCTAACAGATGTGGAATAGAAACTCGATAAAGGAATCCCTGGAATCCCGAACTTGATTTTCCAGTTTGTTGTGTCAGCTTTTCGCTGAGGTAGTGTGCTGTCTGGAAAATGTCGAAGGTTATGAGAGTTGTTCCAAATGATCAAAATTCAAACCCATAATATCAAGCCTGCACCTTTCACAACCTAATTTTTTTCTTTTAAATTTTTGCTTTAGCTGAAAAAATTAATGAGATTTTCTGTAAGTTGATCAAAAAATATCCGACTTGTAGGATAAAATGAAAAGGCTTGATTAGAACTAGTGCTTTGAGTTGAAATTATCATAACGAATATTGCTGTAAGTTAAATAATTACGATATAAAAACGATTACCCTTGGCTTAAACCGATTGGAACACGTAGCAAATGAAGTAGTTGCTAAGGACATGCTTGAACTGGTAGATAATGGTGTTAGTACTCATAATAGCTAGATCTCACAGAAGGACTGTTCACGGTCAAGGTAGAGAGAGGGAGTGAGTAATCAACATATTCTTTCTCGAAGAAGTTAATTTAAATGAAATTATCATTGTCACCTTTCCAACAAGTTCAGTAGGACAATTTACATACGGGAAACAGCGACGCATTTAAGGTAACGCTTACCATAGCTTTACCATATAGCTGTTGTCAATCACTTTTTGTGTCTGTTTTACACGTGCAAAGCAGTGTTCCGTTTCATTTTTAGTATTAAATACACGATCATTATTTGGGTGGGTTCTGTTTTAGAATAGTTATGAGACCAACACCGGATAAATTTGAAAGGACAAAGGTTTCAGCAAAACTGTTATACTGATCAATTTTTGCTACAGAGTTACTACAAAGATGGTTTATGAGATCCATGAGAAAAGTTGATTGTGAAATGAAAGCAAAGATTTCTGGCGTACCTGGATAACGCGTTATCAATCACCGTTAAGATGGACATAACCATAATTTCTCAAAAATGAATTAGGGTGAGCCCATTGATTCGCAAAAGACCAGATCGGTGGCGAAAAATTTGAAGAAGGTATGACTCGTAACAAGAAAAAGAAGTTATGAGTGTCCCCGTGATTTTTGGCACTTTCGTGTAGATACGACTTAGTTTATGCTATGTCAAATCAACTCAATTTAATTGGAACGGACAAGCAGTATTCCATCTTGCTCCAAATGACATATAATTTTCTTTGTGCGTCTCAGCCTGCTTTTGAAAAACTATTATTAATTCAACTTCGCCTTTTGTACTCCGGATTAGAAACAGGTTTGGCGAGTTCAATACTGGAATATCTGTATTGCACGACGTGACAACGTAATAAAGGGAAGTTATCAAGTAAACTGTTTTCTTTTTTATTTTTAATTGTGATGACATAAAGTTAAATGTTAAGCCCTAAGAGTCGATTATTCGAAAAGCGTTAAGCGCTAATTCAGGGTCAAAAATTAAACTTGCTTTTGATTTTTTTGCCAAATCCTCATATCATATTATCTTACTGTAGGGCAAAATTTAAGGCCAGAAAAATATAAGATACGAAATCGACTATTAAAGTTACAAATGAAATCAAAATTTTCACAAAGTGTTAGGCTCAATCGTGTTTTCTGATCCTGTTCAGCAGCGCCCTAACCCCTGCTCTTTACAATCACACATCTTGTCGTTGTCTAATAAAACTCGACATTGACTTCTTTACCAGAAGGGGAAGGGCGGCTAAACGGCTAGATTATTTGATGTGCAGATATATGGATCGAAGATTATTGTGCTGTGTTCCTAAGCGAGACACTGTTTTCCAAGTACCTCTTCCCAGTTCCCACTGATACCTCACAAACTACGATGGAAATGCAGTGTCCGCATGTCATGGATCACTAAACATCCCATTTAGGGGGGGAGGGAGGGGAAGGGGGAGGGAGGGGAAGGGGGAGGGAGGGGAAGGGGGGAGGGAGGGGAAGGGGGGGAAGAAAAATTCCAGGTAACTCCATTTGATGGAAAACAGAATAAGCTCAGATTAGATGGACCATTGGGAGTTGAGAAAATGATTGTTTCCTCAGGTTTTAACCAAAAAGACATTTCATCCTTTCCATTTGCTCAAGTTTGTCAAAACGTGTCGTCTCGCTTTTCGCCGATAAAAGTTTAAGGCCTTCCCGCGATTGTAACCGGAAGAATTACCAGAGAAGAAAACTACACCACTGTTTTCTATTCTGATAGATAATGCAGTATAGCGCAATTTAATAGCTCAGCTCTGATGAAACATTACATTGTGTAAAATTGTTTTAATTGACTTTACATCCATGAATACTAATAAATTGAACTTAATGATCTCCTTTTTCAAAATTACGTGTATAATACACCATCGTAAAGATATTGTATTAATAAAATTTTCTTATTTTTTTTAGTGTGACAAACGTTCCGACCGTACTGCAAGCAATTTAGACACTTACCAAATTCTTCCTTATATCTGAAATGTACACGTTAGATATTGATCTCACTTGCGCAAGCGCAGTTTTAGCATGTCGTTCTGTCTTTGAACTTTTACTACTCCTCAACATCACGGGCCCTCAACTCATTTATTTCATTTTCAGTCTATAAACGTCATATCACACCCAATATGACTTGAGCCCAGCTGCTCCATTGCCTTCCACATACCTGCCATTGCCACTGCACTGTGTTAGCTGCTTTCCTCGGATGGACGACCTCTTGGCCACAATAGGAAGTAATCTTGCCGTATATCCAGACGATCCAGTCGGGGGGACAATGTATTCACCGCGCTTACTATGAGTTCGAATACACATGATAACACGTGGAAGGGCGAATTTCATTGAGAGTAGAACTATAACAACCAGAGCAGCAGAAATCATAACAACTGCAATGGTTGAAATATCTCCTTCATCCCAAGGCTCCTCCTGTCTAATCATTTCTGCCGTCACAGTAGGCGATGTAAAGTTTACCAATAGTGAAGAAGACAAAGACGAATTTAAGCACCTTTCTTTATCCTCGCTGGGGCACATAGTCGTTCCTGTCGGCGTTGTAAGAGTTGTACTAGGTGTCCGAGTGGACGGAGTGGTGGACTCCTTACTCGGGCAAGCTAAAGCTATAATCTCATCGTTTGTGCGGTAACCTGGCTTTGGATTCCTTTGAGTTTTTTGAGGAAATTTTTCTCTATGGGAATTGCCCCAACATTCCAGTGGGCCGAGCGTAAAATCAGATCTCTCACTTTTCTTATGGAATTGCAATCTTTTAACAGGAAGAGAAGATTTATCTGTCAAATACCCTTCATCAACTCTCCACCGGTTATCTCTGATGTCACAGTTGCACAACTTTCCCGGGCCGTCACAAGAAGAAGGCTCTTTGCTTCCGCAGGCACACTTGTCACTTCCGGGCTCAGCTCCTCCCCAGTATTTCTGTTGCAAGTTGTCACGTGTATACCAAAACGCGTGCGAGGGTCCGCGAGGCGTGTTAAGAAGTTTGGAAGCGAAGCAATGAAACCGGATGTATTGGCGGCACTCCTTGCTTCTTTCTATCAGCTGAGTGATTTGCTCCTTTTCAATTGAGTTAGAATACGTAACATCATGTTGATAAAACGTTTTTACGACCGGAGCATCGCCAACACGTATTTTGTTCATTTTATTGTGAGTTATGACGGTGTAAGTCCGTTTATGTTCATTCGTTATATTACAAAATGCTGTGTAAGGTTTTCCATCTCCTTGTGAATCTAGCAGACATGCCATGCTTCTCTTTAATCCAAGGGACCTGTAATATTCACAAGTTGGCCTGTACTTGGATGTTTCACATTTGTCTCCTTCGAACTCAGTATATTTGCAGTCGCAATAGAAACGTTCCCAATCCTGAGAACATTTACCATTATTTCTGCATGGATTCGGCTGACAGTGATTCTGTAAGCGGCAAGAATATTTCAGGTCATCTTTGGTGTGTTTACTCATTTTAAGATTCTTTAAAAATATCTTTTGACTGTCAATTTTTAAATTTAATATGCAACCAACGAAACCGGAATAGAGTCTTCTTTCTGCGTCATAGCCCCCAAGAAAAATCTTTAAACGAGACTTGTTTGAGAATTCCTGCATTAAAAGTGAATGATTAAATTGTTTTGTTCTCGGTTTACCATCCACATGAAGACTCACGTCTCTTCCTCGGATACTTGCGTTCACACTATGCCATTCTCCATCGTCAAGATTAGAACCCATAGCCAACTCAGTCTTAGATCCATTCGGAGCAATGACGTCATAACGCAAAGAGCCACTTGACAGACGGATGTATAACTTGACTTTGATGGCGCTACGCGATAGAAGAAGACCATCACCCACGAGCGTGCGGAACCGAAAACTGGCAGAAAATGTGTCGTTATCTATCGGTAATTTTTTGACAGTCACTTTGAAACCCTCGTTAGGGTTATTCATTGTTACAACACGATAGTCGAGTTCCTTGCATTTAAACGGCGCTTGTCCAAATAGATAATATCCAGAGTTAGAACCGCGTTCAACCTCTCTGATGACGTTTTTATCACGGAATGTCAAGTCTTCTATACAACCATTAAAATTGATTTTTGGACATTTCAAGTAGACATAAGACTTGTATTCAGTGGGTTTCATTCCACCGACGTAAACCTTCTTTAAATCAAGATCTTCATATTCTTGTCGCGTAATTCCAGAAATTGTTAGTTCAGAATCTACAGTTACCTCCGCCTTCCGGCCCTTTTGCAGCACAGTCACATTGTGCCATTTGCCATCATTCAATTTCATTTTTGAATGAACAATGTCTACCAGTCCCGAATCATGCTTGCCTCCAAGATAAGCAAGGTAACTACAAGGAGGAAGATGAAATATCAGTAGATTTCGCTGACTGAATAATAGAGTGACTCTCGCATAAAACTGCGCAAATGAGTCAGCTTGGGCAAACATAATTCCATCATTTTACTACCACCCATCGAATACATATGGCCTTTTTTATTTAACAAATAGAGAAGCCTTGACTGTGTTCTGTTCTGTTATAAAGCGCGTAGGAAGCGGTTAGAGTACGAAAGAAGTGTAGGGAGAAACACTAGACTACGTCTCGTGTTTCTCCCCACTTATTCAATTTTTTTGCCTGAGGTCTTTTTAAGTCTCTAAAACAAAATGTAAAAGTGAAATATTTATTGAAACCCAGCCGAATTGTGGCTCATAAAAAACAAGCGAGTTTTTCAACACGGCAATTTGAAAACAAACTGCTCAAGGTGTGTGTTTTTTATTAATGAACGACAGCCGAATTCACAGGAACATGAAGATTGCTGTGATGTGGCCTTCCACTCAACGCATCGGAAAGGACATCAGATCAAGCTCTTAGTTCTTCACTTGAAGGGCGGCCGATGTAATTTCTGATGATGATGTGCTAGCCGCAATGGACCTCAGCATGATCGTAGTCGGCCTGACATCGTCATAATTAGTATGAATTTTAACAGTTATGCCAGTTTGGCTACATTTTTTATCATTCCTGTTTTTTTCTGTTTTGTTTTTGAACACGAAACTATATGTACTATACGAGTGTTCGCTGTGTTTGATTTTTATTACCGTACGTAAGCTTGCAATCTAACCTTCATAACTCGGACTGTCCATTTCGTTTTCTCTTTGAGGATTCTTGTCCCTGCTCACGTTATAATAACGTAAATTACGGCGCTTGGCATGTTTACAAACCTTTGTTTGGCCCTTCTTTTGTAACTTGCCGGCTCGCTTGTTCCGAAATTTCACTTTCAATTGCCGAAAAAAAGCTTAGTAAAGAGAATTCCCGGAAAAGGTCGGACAAAGCATAATTTGGCAGATGGCGTGACAGCTTTAGCTCTGATAGAGCACGCTCTTTCAACCAAGACGGCGCACGTTATATCCGAACTTTGTTATAATACCAAGTAGACTTAATATCAAAAATCTGATTGTTCGAGAGCATTCAATCAATATACGATAGTGTTCGAAGTTGAATTGATAAATGCAATATCTGCAGCGGATATTGCATTTATCACGTCGAGTTAAAAGTCTGCATAGTTTCCAAGCCCTTCATTTGTGCAGTGTTCATAAACTTTTGCAAACTTAGAGGGAAGTGTCTCCTTCTGTAGATCGTTTAAACAAATGTATAATTATTGCCGCGGAACTCGGTTTTTGCATGATGACATGAATTATCAATCGTCGTGTCGGTGTTCCTCAGACCTCGGCTTTGACAGGTATCTCAGACTTTGGTTTTGATGATTCATGATATCATGCTTAACCTCATCCAATTATTGCTTATCATTAGGAAGACACGTTACAACCGAGTATGAACAAAAGGTAAAGCCAGCCACTAGTCACAGTTACTTTGTTACTTCCCCACCCCCTCCCCCTCCGGAAATAATATGAGGTTTTGTTTCCTTGTTGGGTTTAGATTTTGTTCTCAAACCCTTCAAATTTTTTTTGTGTGAAACTTTGGTCTTTGTGATAATTGGCTCTTTTGAGGATTTAGTTCACAGGCCGCATCGTATTAACCTTATTTCAGAACTTGATTTCAGCGAATTTTCATTCCTGTTTTTGAGTTTTTAAGGTCAGTTTCCCGTTGTGTGACACGCCTTAATGCCTCTTCCTGGATGCATTCATGTCTATGTACCGATCGATGGTCATACATGATAAATGAATATGAAATAATCAAATAATTAGTCTTATTTCTCTTAAACGAGAACTACTAATTTATTAGCACTAAGATTATGACCGTGAAAATTCTATCGCGTGATAGTTGATGAGGGCTAAGCTCGAGTCAACCATCACGCATATAATTCATGGTTTTTTACTTACATCTAATTGGTTGTGGAACGAGTTTTGCAATATCAATCACATACCATTGTAAACAAAAACCACAACATCACTTACTACATTCGAAATTGAATTGAAAATGACTCTGGCTAGAATAAGCGGTAAAAATTGCTAATTTGGTCTTGGCGTGGCAGCTTCCATTTTTGTTGTTAAAGCCAATTTTATCGCAATTCCTACGATTTGTGTCTAAATTGTGAAGCACTCTGAGCATTAATCACACATTTTGTTCAAAGTAGCCGTTATAGAGGTGTAACAAATTATGTATCTGCATTTGCAAAATGAGTAGGTTTTCATTGGAAGTCTGACAAAAAGCGGAGAGAGTTTGAATCGTCGAAGAGTTGCTTCGGATGAATAATATGATAAATCGTGCTTAGTTTGGTAACAAAATCAACTTATTTAAAAAAGTAAATGCAAGAATACCAAACCGACGTCATCTTATGTAAAGTTGAGTTTTTGGCCAATACATCTATATAAATAGTGAAATTTTCACGCAGCAAAGAAATCAGTTTCACCCATAGGCAATTTCTTTTCGTAATATCAATATATTTTTACGTGTGAAAATAGAAAGAACAAAGCCAAAATGTTGATAGAAGAATACTTTCGATTTAACAGCAGATTTATGGCAGACAATAAGGAGACTAAGTTTTCAGATCCTAGAAATGTCAGTGTTAACCATCAATCATGCTTCAAAAAATGAAAAAAATTTTAAAGGGGAATCATGAACCCTGACATTAACATTCAAATCACTTTATGATGTTCTACTCATTTGGAGTCTGAGAATAAGAAATTAAGAGCAGTTTATCTTGTCATTATCATCATTGTTCCTTCCTCTTCTATTGGAGGGTAGGAACTAGCATTTGGGTAGGAAAAAAAAATAAAACATTTCGTTCTCACTGATAAACAAATATAAACGAACCGTCAATTTTTTTGTTTAACCTTGAGGAGGAAACCTACCCACTCAAAACGAAACCAAGAGATGCCCTTTCTTTGAACTGAGAAATTTCTTCAATTAGAATTTTTAATCCCATCTTCACGTGTGGAAAAAAATCTCGAAAAAATCTCAAAACATGAAATCACCCCCTACCGAGCTCTCTGTGAGGAGTTTGGAGTAACTTTTCTTCTAACAATGTACTCCTTATCGTTTTATATAATTTTCAGTTATTTCCCTCTTTTTTACAACAAGAAACAATTTTCGTCTGCTTCAAAACAGTGGGACAATAAGGTTGTTTCTGATTTCGAAAGATTTCCTGCTAATTTTGTAGAATTAAAAAACTTTATCGCAGTTGGTGGTTTGGGCAAAATATTTATCATTACTCTGCGACTCTGGACAGAGCTTGACCGAAAGAGAGAAATCATTGTAAACATATCTTGATCGCAAAACCCACGAATTTTGCATTGATAACCAAGATAAGAAGATTTCAACATTTACTAGAAACAATAATTTTGAATACCCTTTCTTGTGGACAACAAAGTACCCTTTTTAAATCATGTCCGCATTTTTTCTTTTACGGCACGATAAATTCGGTACAATGTCCAAAAATTAAGATTTCATTCTTTTGACAGTATTGTTTGGTACACTATTTATGGTGCTTAATGTAAATATCTCTTTGTTTCGATCGATTATTATACGAATGAAATTACGTGTAAAATAGGAACTCGTATACCGATGTATTACTATATTTTTGGATTACAGTGTTACTCTATCCTAAAATTTGTTAACTTTCTCAGCATGCAAACTTGAATCACTTCCTTGGGAGGTTTGAATCAGCCCTCTTTTAGCCAAACATTCCAGTTATGTGGATATGTTACCTATCAGACGAAGCTCAATAAACCGCTTGGAAATGATCATTTCTTTTTGGACAAAGACTCACTTTGAAATCAAGCATTTAAAACTATTTATTTAGAGGTAATTGGTATACAATGAAATCTGCCCTTAGTTTCCTCTTGTTTGCTTTTGCATAGGAAGAGAAAAAAGTTATGTCTACCTGTTTACGATTTCACAAAACACTCCCATTCTCTTCAGCTTGTTAAAAATAGCAATAATAAATAAACTCACCGCACTTGTCCATGGTGGAGGCAAAGTTGGAGGTAATCCATCACTTTTGTTTCTTCGGTTCCGAAGATGAGAAGGCCGTTTGGGTGTATGGTTCGGAATCGCAACGTTATTTTAGTTTTTCGAGGATCAGTGTTTTCTCTTATGCCGTAAGTGATATAACTTTTGCCTTCGAGCTGCACTTGAGAGGCAAATGTTATCGGAATTGAAAATTCGAGAGTGAGAAAAAGCAGTAGAGGGCTCCAACCGTATTGCAGACCCATCGCGTACTTGCAAGTTCGACTCTGCGAGGCGCCTAAAAAGAATAGCACAATTGCAGATTACAAGCCGAGTAATTACAAGCGAATAAACTTTAGATGGCCTCCGCGGGCGCTCTGTCGCACTTCAAACATGCCGATTTGCATCAAAGAATGAAACACAACACGAGTGTTCCCCGCAAGAAGAACCAAGCTGTTTCGGTTTCGAAGCTCTAGAGGGCGGAAAATTTGGTCAGAAGGGGATTGGAAATTATGAATCATCCAATGAGATGATAGCGTGTTAATAAACATTAATTGATTTTCTTTCTTTTCACGAGCCAGGTGTTTCATTTGACACTTCCTCGGCGAACTTCGAGGATTCTCAATCCACGAAATCAACGAAAGGAAAACAAGCTTAATAACCTTTCAAAAGCTAGTTGAAATTAACAGAAAACTGGCATTGAATATCGAGGATATTTTAACGTCGTCGAATTAATTCTCGAACAATAGTGACTCAAATTATGTGTTTGTCTCAAAATGTGATACAGTTTCCTGTCCAAGGAAGAATGAATTTTATTATAATCAAGACTGGATTTCTAATTAGGACATACAATTCTAAATAAGACAAATGAGCTTACATAATATATGCGCTCTACTTAGCCGCGCTCTGTCCGCAGCGGCTAACAACAAGATTTGTCGCATAGGGAGGGATCTTTTCAATTTTAATCGCAGTGCGAAGGAATCGAATTCAATTTATGTTATAAAATGTGCGCCATTCAAGGAGCACAACTGGCTCAATGAGGATACAGAATTAGCTTATCATGGATGTCTTGTTGAGGTGCTCTCAGAAAACAAATTCGGAAATATTTTCATCCCCCAGGCTGTTATACACTCGCGTGAAAGTAAAATCTACGAGATAATCCCAGTCACTTCAAATTCTATTATTTTTGCGTCGAGCCGCCCAAATTCGTGAATATTTCATGCAAAAATATATCTTCATTTAATAGGAATACCACTGAATGATTCTCTTAGGATTATTAACGCTTATCTCGCATATCCTTGAAAAGGAAAGAGCTTCAAAATGATGGTATGGATTCATTTACGCTGTTAGCTCGCGTGAAATTTATTAACATGTCGAAACAATTTCGCGGCAAGTAAAAAATTTGCTTGCCGCTAGGCCGTGAAGCCAACTGAGTATATTTTGATTTCGAGGTTCCACATGTACCTACAAGAGAAGAAAGATTTATCAGAATACTTCTCGGCGTATTTGGTTTTTGAACCGCTGTCAAATAACAACAACAAATGTTAACTGAAATAATTTGCAACTTTTTGAAATTGTGTCGTTTTTGGTGGACACTCGGTTTTGAGGAACATTCTCTTTACAAATATTAACCAGTACCTACCATTGAGCCCAAATTCGGATCTCTTCCAGTGATTCCTTAAATACATTTTTAAATTTCCATTTAATCTTTAAAAAGAAAATTGTGTTTTCGATATTCTCGAAATTTTTATCCAAACCAAATCAGCATCGAAAATATTTGTAAGCAGAATGAAAAGTTGCAGTGGACTACTTTGGTCGAAATTGTGATGTTTTGTTAAAACTTAGACTTAAAGCTTTGAAATTACGACAGTAAATGATAAATCCTTTGGTGGAAATTGTTACACATCACCTCTTTATTCTGAATTTGCATCTTTTCGCCTTTAATAACAATATAAATTTTCTCGTTAAGTATTTTCCAACCTGCCTCGTCGGCGTTTATTTCTGCGATCACTATCTCGGATATCTGCTTAAATTTGTCGTCGCGGACAAGGTCACAAAAGAAAAATGACTAAGTTGTAAATAGGGATATAATCAGAGTATAAAGATTACACTAACACCAAACGATGATGAAGTGAAATTGAATCAAAATTCAATTAGTTCGCCGATATCCACATTTTAAAAGTTGATTTTTGATCGCAACACCAAAGGTGCTAAATTTTGGGGGTAAAACATTTTCCTTTTTCAGTGAGATTCAGTAAACTGGTTAGTATGCAAGTAACCACAGGAGAGACTTTGATTAAATTGTGTTACGTGAATGATATTCTGGAAGAAAAAAGAAAATTTCAACCAAAACTGAAATCACATGGTAACTTTTTTCAAGTTGTATTATACGTAAAACTGGCGCTAACCGCCATAAGAAAAAGAATTGGAGATCAGGCTACAAATTCCTAGAGATTCTTCGTGTTCGCAAACAACAATATGACAAAACCTCCAAAATAATCTATAGATCAGATGATCAAAATGTCTCGGTGAGCGGCCGACACAAATAAGACACTGAGTTGATAAGAACCCTGTTGATATCGCGCGGCTATCAAGGCTGAAATATGTGTTTTACGGGAATTTGGGAAAATTTCTCGTTATCGAAGATTATGGTCTCAAATGGAATTAATGGCGTGAAACTAAGTATTTTCCGTTTTTAAATCGGCAACATACATAACATAGCATTAAATATTACAAAATGAGATTTTTTAAATCCGCTAGATGTACACGATGCGTATATCGGGCAAATAATTCAACACATTGAGTTCCTTCTTTACTGAAACAAATAATTGCTACGCAAGGGGTGGTGTATCTTAAACCAATCTCCTGGACGGCAAAAATCCATATTAATACTTTATTAATTATTCATTTACTTTTATTCAAGTTTCATTTATCAATTCACTCATTTTCCCCTCTCATCCAAGTGTTCTTCCCATTTTTAATTTTCCTTTTTTGATTTTGTTGCACGCGACGTAAGGTGCCCTGGTATTCAACGTTTTTCATCACAGTAAAGCTTTCCACGATATGGAACCAAGTCAACTCTCTCTAGCGATCAGGTAACAAAGATAACAAAAAAAAGTGTTTGCAATGAAACCATAACCACAAAAAGGATTTTACAAAGTCTACGGGTCCTTATCTGTTTACAGTCTGTGTCCTGGCGGAACTCAGAAGAGCGTCTCAAATTTACCCATTTGTGCATGCTCCATGTTTGACCGCAGGCGCAACATAGATTCTGACCGACCCACCTACACCTGTATGGATTAATTAAATAGACTACTTCGCTAATTAGATAAATGTACTGTAAGGTGATAGAATACTTTGCATATCTTCAAAGCTTAGAGGGCAAGTTCTGTTTAGGAAATCAAACCATGCAGCTTTAAAATTGTGCTTTTGTGAGATTTTCTCACGTTTTAGTCAGCAACATCGACCTTTTTTGCCCCAAAATATCTACAAGGGAATGGAGACTTCAATTTTCGATTGATTCTGTCAAATACGATAAAAAAAGAAATAACGAAGGTGAGTGTAAATGACATTACAACAATGGCCATAGTTGACAACCCAGTTTCTTCATTTTTATCCGTGTTTGCGGTTTTTTCCATTGCATTGGCTTTCTGGGAATTGTCCAGGCTGAAATTCCCACTTTGAAGGGTCTTAACAGTAAACGTTTTGTTTTCTGAAAGGATAGAAAAGTTTTGAGAAGCGTTTGCTGTTACAGACGTGATGTTACTTGGCGACCCTTGACTCTGTTCTAGGGTGGTGCTTGAAAATTGTGGGCTTTCCAGTGAATCCTTCACAAACTTTTTCTCCGACTTTGACTCACTTAGGCAGACCCTCTTCAATCGACGATCAACTTGTTTTTCGTTCAGATTTTCACCGAAGCTTGCTGATGCTTCGCTGTCTTCCTCAGTTCCCCAGCATTCTAATGGTCCAACTGTGAAATCTGATTTCTTGCTCTTCTTGTTGAAAAGCAGCCCAGTCACAGGTAAAGTGCTCTTGTCACGTAAGTACCCTGCATCAACGCGCCAAATCCTATCCCTGGCATCACAGTTGCAGAACTTCTTACCCACACATGAAGGTGGCTCGGTCACTCCGCATGCGCACTTTTTACTCCCTGGTTGTCCTCCTCCCCAGTATTCCTGTCTTACCTTGTCACGTGATAACCAAAACGCTTGTGAGGATCCCCGAGGCGCGTTAAAAAGTTTAGAAGCAAAACAATGAAATTCTAAATACTGACGGCAATGTTTGCTTTTCTCTATCAGAGCCTCAATCTGATCCATTCCTGTTCGGGCAGTATACGTGATTTCATGGCTGTAGAGGACGTCCAAGAGTTCCCCGTCTCCAACGGGAGTTTCCGCCATTTTATTGTGAGCTATAATCGTGTATGTTCGTGACGAGCGTGTTACGTTACAGAATGCAGTGTAAGGGTGTCCTTCTCCCTTGGAATCCAACAAACATAAAGCACTCGTCTGCAGCCCCATGAATCTGTAATGTTCACAAGTTGGCTTGTAAATCGAAATTTCGCAAATTTCACCCTCAAAATCTGTGTGATCGCAATTACAATAAAACTGCTTCCAATCTTGCGAGCATTGCCCGCCATTTTTACAAGGATTAGGCTCACAGTAGTTTTCCAAATGACAAGATTTCATCACCACACTCTGAACGTACTTCTTTCTTCGTATGCCGCTCAATGGAATTTGACGATCCTGTATTATCAAATCCAATATACACCCAACAAAGCCCGATTTATTCGATTTCATTTTCCTTTCTTTCCCAAGAGAAATCTTTGGTCGGAGCTTGTTTCTGGAATTTCTAATCGATAAAAGAGAGTTATTAACCTCTTTCGTCGTGACCTGTCCGTCAAGTTGTAAAACAATTTCCAAGCCTGCTATACGCACTGACAGTTGATGCCATTCACCATCATTAAGGTTAGTGCCCAGTCTCAGCTCTGATTTGAATCCACTAACGTCAACGACTTTCAAGACCAGAACGCCGTTCGAGAGAAAAAGGTAAGACTTCACTCTGGGTGAAATAACCGAAATGAAGTAACCCTCTTTAAAATAGGTACGGAACTGAAAACTTGTCGTAAAGAAACAGTCATCCATTGCTCTGTAAGGTATCCGCACGCTCAAATTAGGACTGATGCTTGAAAAAATGCGATGAGCTGCAGATTTACACTGGAATGAAATTTTTTTATGGATTTCAAAACCATGTAGTCCCATTAAAGCACCAGCCAGAATATTTACGTTGCCGTACTTTACATCTCTAAGACATCCACGGAAATTTTTAGACCCTGTAACGCGTAGGGAGTGGTAACTTTGCTCCGTCATTCCACCGACGTAAATGACGTCATTCATGTCGAGCTTTTCATACTCTCCTTGGTGTATGTGGAATGCAGTGATCTTGTCGACACAGAGGGAAAATTTTCGTCCGTGTCTAATGAGTGTCACATTGTGCCATTTGTCATCATACAGGTCTTTATTTGGGGACAAGATTGTGAGGAGGCCATTTTGGTAGCTACCATGAAAATAGGAGGAATAGCTGGAAAGTAAAAGGAAGGTTTAAGGATCGTGTATTTTCCGTACTTTAATCTGCAGAAAAATTCAAATTTAGAATAAGATGTTCTTATGACCTGTTGATTGAGTATCTGGTGTAGGTTTGTAAGTAACTTATTTATAGTGAGCCTTTCCGCCCTTCGTTTGTCTGGGTGGGTATGTGTGGGTGGGAGTGGTTGTGCGTGTAAGGGGGAAGGGGGTGAACAGAGGGAAAGATTGCACTCCCTTTTAGAAGGTAGGGTATGTAGCATATGTAGGGAAAAGTGGAAATTGTGAATTTTATGCAAGAGTGTGGTATGCTAGGGTACTTTGAAACGACGCCGAGTTCTTATGTGAAACGCTCTGGAAGTGGTGAGATGTTCGAAAAGACTTCCCAAGAGTAGTGAGTCGTGAATATAGTTAGGATCTTTTAGGGTTATTGGACAGAAGTGGATTTGCATCATGTATTTAAACATGGAATTTCTTTGGGTTAACGGTTTGAGAATTCCAAGAGAACGCGTACACCCAGAAATTTACAAGGTTGCTTGCTTCATTGGACGTTGCTGAATCAATGCTACAAGTTCATGCTAATGATACTCTAGGAGTCAGTCTTTTTAAACCAATTGTGACATGTGTTACGAGTGTCAATGTAGAGCAGGGTTGTTCCTAGACAAAACTCAGGATCGTCGGTATCAGCAACAAACTGATTTATTTCCAGGTAGTTAACTTCTCGACTTTACAGCACTGAGCTTCTTCACACTTCTCTGTCTTAGACGAAACTATCGCTCTTATATACATAAAGTCCAGGGATCTAGAAACTTCTCGAAAGAACTAAATTAGGAAGATTAACACGATTTCTAAGTAATTACATAAAAAATAGAACGTTCTAGAATGTTCTAATACAAGAAGGTTACGGCTGGATGACTTCGGGTCCTAGACTGTTCTGTAGAATGTTCTAGGACTTAACTTAGACAACTAGTTTATGCTTAAAAAATGATAAAGATATGCCAATAAACACATCACATATGCATGTTCATTTTAATACATCTTTTCTTGCTGATCCTTATTTTTATTTGCGGTTTTGGATCTGGTTATCTACAGCAAGATTTCCTGATGTAGGGGGTAAATCTTTCTTTTGGTCATGAATTTTAATGTGAAAAATATTGCTATCACTCGTGTGGTGAGATACTAATGTTTAGACTTCTCTTACAGTAAGAAGACATTTGTACCTCTTATTATATGATATTTTCAAATACCTGAAGTGCCAATTGCAAATAATTCATACGACGTTTAGAAGAATTTTCAGAAGGGATCATTGAAATGACCTCATTGTTCCCTAGGTTCCTGCTCGTTTATTTCAAGTTAGTTTATGTTGAGAAGCGATCGAGATTTTCGCCGCTCAAACGTACCAAGCTTTATATTGATTTAAATTCAAGAATACAGGACACCAAATTCAACCGCAAAGGAAAGAGTTAAAGTCCAACAGTTTCTGAATATTTTTAAAATAAAAAATTAATAAGTCTGGCACCAAGAAAATAAATTAGCTTATTATTTGAGCCTCTATGAGGTACGGAATCATTTCGAGAATTATCTTATCTCCGATCCTCAGCCTATTGCGTAAATAGACTTTTCTGAAACAATGCGCAGTAAAAGAAAACAATTCGTTTCTTTCAGGTAAATTATTAAACCATTATTTCATTTTTATACTTCAATGAAAGTCTAAGAAGATTTAACGAGTTCTCCGGTCCAGTTTCAAACGTTAAATGAAAGTTTTTAGGATCAGTGTTAAACGTTGTTGTGATCGGCGATGAAAATTAAGTACGTACTGCTTCGGTCGATCGGCAAATTTCATCATCTTTTAAGCCTTACACGAGGACACACTGGAGAGTTGATACCGACCACGCTTCGACTAATCCGACTCATCAACGATCATAAGCTTTAGTTCAAATACATACACAAGAGGTAACACGCGTAAATTTTACTTTGACTTTGAATATAGTCATGAAAGCTAAAAGAATTCAAGCTTGTAATTTAAAAGCCACGAAGGATCAGGTATACGGGGGGCCCAGCAACAAATGCCACAAAGGATCAGGTACACAGGGCGGCCAGTAACGCACCCTTGGATTATGCAAGTCTGCTGGCAGGTTAAGTTTCAGAAAACGACTTTTAATCAAAAAGTCGAGGCTGGAATTTATTTCTTCCTGATTTCGAGAAGCTTAAACTTGACCTAAATTGCCAAGATAAATTTCTAGCTTTGCATCTCGCGACGGAAAATCAGGTGAAACAAACGAAAATTGCCTCTGTTTGCAATATTTAAGAATGTAATCTAGAACGTTTCATTAGAAAACGGCTCGAAAATACACAATTTTTTTTATGTAGGAGAAAACGGACGATACAAAACAAATTCATCATCTATACATCTACATAGCCAAGACAAATTGGAATCACTTGATGAAATGCGTTCTCAATTTAAAACTGACGAGGATTACTTTACTTGATCAGAATCTTTTTCTTCCTTGGTCCAGAGGTTAACACACTTTTATTCTCACCTTATTCTTCCCTGGATGATCTCTAGTCTGAAATATTGGCCACTGGCTCCTTTACTGTACATAAGAAGCCCATTCGGGTGTATGGTGCGGAATCTTAGCTGTAAAATCAGCTGCCCGGGATGGATCTCTATCGATTCAGTCGATTTCAAATCCAGAGATATATATGCATTGCCGTTGAAAGCAATAGGAGTGCCAGGAATATTTTTTACCACAAAAAGTACAAGAAATATTATAGCTTTCATGGTAACCGGGTTTATGGGCCAAATAATTTACTAGTCCATGATAAAACAAATGGTCGTTTTATAAGAAAAACTAGAATAAAATGTATTTGCATATATATTGCGTAGAGCGGTTATGGCAAAAAGCCAGGACGCCAGTCAACCGCAATATCAAATAATTGAATTGAAACTTATCCTTAATGAAAAATGTGTTTTTTTGAACTTCGCGGAACTAGATATATTTCCATCCATTGAGGGTTTTTTTTTAAAGAAGGGTAGTACAGGCCTCTGCGGGTTTTAAACCCAACAGTGTAACAGAATCCATCGGTGTGTTTGTCAGTTCTTTAATATTACAAATCTATCACTTTGAGTTTCAGTTCATGACATCGCTTAAAAAAAAATTGACTGTGAAAAAGTAAGGAAAAGAATATCGTCTCTGTTCGCTATACTTTGGACTCGTATTGTCTTTCATTCACATAAATTGTTAACAGTGATTTAAGTTTTTATTTCAACTTTTCACTTTCCTCGTCAATTTTTGTTCTATTAGATTATATACCTCCCTTACCAACGGCTGACGCCCAGTGCACTGTGCACGGGATGCAAACCAAACCACGCTCGAAACCAACTCCTTTTCAAGTCGTGAATGCGGTTACACAATGAAAGACTCATCGCTGTCTGCTACATTGAAACCTGCTGATTTTATATTGAGTTTAGATTAAAGTTAGGTCGGTAAGCGCATTTACGTTCTGCGCATGCGTTGTACGCGATGAAAGAAGAATATCCGCACATAGTTGGCCTTGTAGTTGTGCGATTCTGGGGTACTGTTTGATGCTGTTGCTGTTGGTTACTCGCTCAACTTTCGGTCTCTGAAAACCAAATAAACACCGATGACCCTCCCGTGGAATTCTAGTCAGCAAACACTTTGTCGAACAAGTACAAACACTTGTCCGTTGCGTGAACTGTTCCCGAAGGATCATTCAAGGTACGGCCCCCAGGATTGTGCGACATCTGTCAGCACACCATGAGAGCAGAGAATTTCAAGAGAAAATTGCATGCTTTGTTTGATCGAAATTTCTTTACTTGGCTAAAGCTTCTACTTCCTTCGAAAATTAAAATTACAACTTTTTAACATGAATATTCAACTATGGGCTCGTTCGTCGTTCGGAGTTGAGAAGAGAATTGGACTCTGAAATATCAAGCACTTAATTAATGGCTAACCTCTTTGAAACTACTAATTTACTAATTTTCAGATAAACGTGAAAATAGCTCTTTTATTAATCTTAAAAAATTCGATTTGACCTATCATTTGTTAATGAAACAAATAAAGTTTGGTTTTACAACATTCTTTAGGTGTCACGTATCACTTCTTTCGTTGTCATCGAGAAATTCTTTACCTTAATTTTGCTAATGGACGTATGGAAAGAAAGCCTGGATATCGATAATCACGCGGTTCTTGCTTTATATGAGGGTCCATATTCGACCGGCTTATCCAATCCTGCATTCCGCCGCTATTTTTCAATGCATCCCGCCATCCCGCCGCAATGAACAGTTTCATTCCGATCCTGCCGGGTTAAACGCAGGTTGCTCTACTTCACCGCCTTATTTAAACTGATGGACAAATTAAAGCCTTTACATGATTATGGAGAAAGGCAAAGACTTGCTTATGGCATATTTGGCCGGCCTAAAAAAAAACAGTTGTTCCTCGATGTATTTACATATTTTATAAGTGAGATACAAAAACATCACCAACGGGAGGAGTACAGAGAAGCTATCAAATTCTTCAGCCGATCGCACAACAATAGAAGTCAAAGATACAACAAACTTCATGAACTTCACAGACTGAAAATAGAGCTTCCGAAAAAAGTGATACTCGTTTCAATGCACGGTACGAGCCTATACACAAATCAACCGTAAACTGTACATAGTATGCACAGCGTACGAGACTTTTTACATTCCCTTCCCCCGCCCCCTTCCATTTCAAACCCTTACCAGCGGAAGCACTTAGACGAAACTCATTACAATTCGACGGACAAAATTACTTGCAAACGCACGGAACTGCCATGGTCACCAAAAAGACAGTAGCTTTTACAAACATACATGGCTAAAATCGAAACGCAAATCTTCGATAATAATGCTAACAAACGCTACATCGACGACATAATCTCCCTCTTTCGAACCAACAGAGATGTCGTCAATCAAGCTTAAGCAAATGACACAACCTAACAATCAAATTAACGCCTGAAATATCTGTTTCAGAGGCTACTCTCTTAGACACAACTATCTATAAGGATGAAATATTCAACATTAGGTCGGTTCTTGATTCAAGAACCCACTTTAAACCAACAGAGACATTCCATTACACGTTGTGTCACCCACTTGGAGCAAAAGGCTTCGCTAAAGATGGAGCGTCATGACTCCGTTGGACTGCTTCTTCAAAACAACGATTTGTTTAAACAAACCTGGCAGAAAGAGGCAGAGAGAGGCAACACGAAAAACTTAATCCACCACAAACTCTCAGAAGTGAAAGTTTAAGGACGTAAATGAGCCCTCCTCCAACAGGAAAAAACAACCATTGCTAAGAGAAATCTTCAAAGAACCGATAATATCATACAGAAAGGGGGGTTCACTTAAATAAATACTCGTGAGAGCATAATTATAACATACAATAGTGCCGTGAGGGCCTATTCACACTTGTAACAAATGCAGAGCAAACTGGACGTATTACAGAGTCATTGAGGCTAGTCAAACCCAGTTTACACAGGAACTTTAATTAAGCTCGTTTATAAAGCAGATAGATATTTTTTAATGTGACTCGTAACTTTAGCTCATAATGACCTCGCCTACACGTTTTATTAGCGTAAACGAGGTATTCAGGTACTTATCGTAAACTGAAATATGAAATTATAAGGAAGAAGCTAAGCTAAATTATAATATACGAACCAACACTCCAATCATTCCGATATAAAAGCAGGATCCAAAAAGACTAGCCAAAACTCTAAAACAAACTCACAAAAAGACTATCTTCAGAGGATAAAGGAGAATCGCTCGAAAACGAATTCTAACAAAACTAATAACCGAGTGGGAAAAACGAGCAGCTTTCTAACAAAGCGTGAACAACGTAAGCCACGTGTTACGAGGTTGCGAAAACAAGCGATAAAGAAACTGGTGTAAAAACTATGCGAAACTACCGAAAGACTAGATTTTTAGACAAGCACAAAGAAAAGGAACACAAGCACTTACATAACAGTCCCGCTTGTAAGAGTTTGACTAAAACAAGCTTCAAGATAAGGTGGGTAAAAAGGCGATTTTCGATAAACACGTCTTATCGTTAGCCCAAAGCAAGACAACTAACTAGAATGTGGTTCTGGGTGGAACTTAAAGATCAAGGCCCGTATTGCGGTTTAACACGTTTAACACGAAACAAATTTAGAGCGAATCAATGTCCGGTGGCAAAGGCGTGGCAGCCATTACAATTTCATCGAAGAGAAAAAAACTTTAGTCCACTTGTCCAGGTGAGTGTGCGATGGCAAAATTTTCCTTGTCCACCTGACACTTTTTCTTTCGAGTGAAACGAATTTGAGCGCCGCTTTACTTCAAATGCCTGTGACTTGTACTCTCCGGCCAAAAGTAATTTCGTAAATGAGGACCCTTCAAACGGCCCATGAAGGCAAAAAAATACCACAAATGCATCGATCAACAATTAATTTAATGTCATTGAGATATTCAGACCGAGATTCCATTTATATATGCAATTTTCAGAACTTCATTTATAACCTTCTTAGATTTTGTTCGTCTCATGGTAACTGTAATTAACCACAAACACATGTTGTGGTCTGCCTGTGTTGGGTTCCGGTTCCTCTTCGATCTGAGCGGCAACTTTTCGCCTGTACGAATCTCACACAGATGCGAAACCTCTTTTTGCTTCACTTGTTACCTCCGTAACGGTTCGATCAGGGTTTTCATAACTGGGATGTGAAAAGTTATCGGTTGTGATGGTTTTGCATACGGTTTTCGGTTTGATCGAATTTTTTTGCGGTTTTGGATGATTTTTTGCTACGGTTTTGCGGTTTCTAATAGACCCCATTTCCCCGTGTCCTTAAGACGCGCTAAGCTGATAATCAATTTAAAAGGTGCAAATGGTAATTTACATGACTACTGAAAGCAAGTGATGCATCAGACTCCTGAACTTCCATGGGTTTACCGCAAATGTGAGTAATCTCATCCTGTAAGTGTGAACAAACAGCCGAACAGAGCCTCGATTGTTGATGTTAACCAAAATCATTCCTTCCTTTGGAAAATTGATTGAAAGTATCATAGAAATTATTTTGGTTACGCGCTAAGCTTCAGATAGTGGCCTAACGAAACAAGTCAGGGTAACCTCTTTCCATATCATCAATTTATATTCCGTTTCCTAAATTTTGCCCCCAAACGTTTTTGGAAGAAAACGTGGTTGTCGATAATGACTAATGACCGCTGAAAAATATATGTTCCGCATTATGAACAGTTAATCTAAAAAAAGAAATAATTCATAATTTCTCATTTTCAAATTCCTATTTCATTTTCCCATTCCCCGTTCCCTATTCCTACTTTTAGTAATATCCATGCATATTTGCGGAATTGCAAAATTATAAATAAATAATAAATCAAATGGAAAAGGGTGGAAAGGATGTGAACAAACTAAGCACTTGAAAGTGAAATTATTTGAAGAAATTTTTTTTCCTTCTGACGTCTTCCTTCACAAATCATCTTCAATAGGCGGTGACAAATGAATTTAATGTAAAAAATATTAATCGTTTTAATTTCTCACTACCCAACATATTGTATTTTAGTTCAATATATACGTCAATGAATATAGGTACGTCAATTAATTACAGGTTATTTCACGGTTGGTGAGAGCGTACGATTTTATTCACAAGTTGTGAAAAAAAATTGGGAAAAAGTGTGCCTGAGGTCTTGAGTACCGGTATTCAAGGCAGAAGACACAGTTTTTCCCAATAAGAACCGATCTAGGCTGGTGAATAACA